TTTTATGTGAACGCAAGTTTTCATGTCTTGGATAAATATTAAGGAGAAGAATTTCAGGGACATAAGGTGTTATAAAAGTGATGTTTAAGCTGGGCATGGTGGCACACACCTTTAATCCCAGCACTCAGGAAGCAGAGGCAGGTGGATCTCTGTGAGTTCAAGGCCAGCCTGGTCTTCAAAGCAAGTTCTAGGCCAGCTAGTGCTACAGGAAGACCCTGTCTCATAAAGACCAAAGGGGGGAGGGCACGTTTATAAGAAACTGCCGAGTGGTTTTCCAAAGCAACTAAGCAACTGTGGCATTTTGTATTCCTTGTGTGTTCATGTTTGTAATGTTGACGATCTACTCTCATTTTCTTTGTAATTTTGTTCTAAAATATTTCAAGCATTTATAAAAGTAGAACGAATACCAATGAATTATTATTGTATCAATAACCCAGCATCAATTAATCATTATATCCCCAAACTTGATTAAATACATTCTTGCCCAGATATCTTTTAGCTATTAATATCTAATTCCATTGTTGTAGGAGAATATTTGGTATAATTTGTATCCTTTGAAATTTATACTCTTGTCTGCCTGAGTAGATGTTCTATAAATGTCAGTTGGGTCCAGTTGTTTGAGAGTCTTACTCTAGTCTTATGTCCTTCCTGCCTTTCTGTCTACTGGTTCTGAGAATTACTAAGAGAGGGCTGTTGAAATCTCTGGCTATATTTATAGATACATCTATTTCTCACTTCAGTTTTGTAATATTTTGTCCCCTAATAATGGGAAGCTTTCTTATAGTAAGTGCATTGACAGGATCCCTAAGCTCTCTTGATGAGTTGGTGTTCTGTCATTATAAAATGGTCCTCTTTCATCCCTGTTAATGTTGCCTGCTCTAAAGCTATCTTGGCTAAAAATGTGAACTTATCATAGTCTACTTTTAAGTAAAGTTATATGAATATATGTGAACTTAAAGTGACATGCTTTTACTTCCCTGCCCCAGGCCCTGTAATGCATGCCATGTATTTTATATCGACATTCCTCATGAATGCCACAATAATGTTTGTGATTCACCTTGGACAGAAAATTACCTTTTTAAAAATTTTTATTGATTATTTTTATTTTGTACATATGGACGTATTGCCTGCATGTAGGTAAGTGCATCCATGTTGTGCAATGCCCGCAGAGGTCAGAAGAGGCCATCAGATCCCCTAGGACTGGAGTTATTGACAATTGTTAGCTGCCATGAGGGTGCTGGAATTCAAACCTGGGTCTTCTACAAGAACAACCAGTGTTCTTAACCACTGAGCCATCTCTCCAGCCCCTGGACAGAAAATTACCTTTAAGGAAATTATATAAATTAAGGGGAAACACACTTAACTATTTACACACGTATTAACATTCGGGTTGCTATCCATCCTGTTTCATAGGTGAAGATTTCTATCTGGCATCATTTTCCTCTGCCTGTGTCACTTCCTGTAGCTTTCCATGTACTGCTAATCTGATGCTCATGAGTTCTTTTAGTTGTTGTGTCTAAAAAGTCTTCATCTTTTTATTCAAAGTTATTTTGAAAGTAGAAAATTCTAAGTTGACAAGGCACTCTTTCATCTCCTGATGTTATGTTAACTCACCGTCTTGTGACTTGCCCTATTTCCAACAGAACTCTCCTATCTGTCTAACCTGGCTTCTGTGAATTTTTTTCCAGCAACTTTTCTGATTTCTCTTCAGTAGTTTTAAGTCATTTGGTTTTTGGTGGATTTTAGTATGTAGTCTTCTTCCTAAGCTTGAGCTTCATTGGGATTCCTAGATCTCTAGACTTAAAATCTTACTAAATTTTAAAACTTTTCAACCATTTTTTTTCTCCACACCCCCACCCCTTCTCGGATTGAGTTGGAACCATCACTAAGGAGGTACGCTCTGGAATTCAACCTGCTGCTTCATGAATTTTGAGGTTTCTTAAAGTGGTCCAACCTCCAACCCTGTGTGTACTGTGAGAATTGTTTTGTCCAATCCTACACAGAGACTCCATTCCCAGCCTTAGGTGGGTTCTTCAGACATGTGCGCTCATCAGCGCTCAGTGCAGGTTTGCTGGGTCTTCGAGTCTCCTTGGTGTTCTGGCTGTGAATTCCAGTCTCTAACCCCTGGTTTTTATCTGTCTCTGCAACTCAGGGAAACTGGGGTGCTGTTCGGGTTCCTCTTCACATCCCATATCCTGGGACTCTAGGCTTCAGGCCATGTGATTTTAACAGTCACTGGATTTCTTTCCCTCTTCTAAAAGATCACTGTTCTGTGCCACCTGTTTCCCAGAGTCTGGCAAACAGACTTTGTTCATGTCGTTGGGTAGTTTAATGCAGAGGTTCAATCTATGTCTATATTACTCTACCGCGGCCTATAACAGAATGCTGACTTGCATTTTTTACTAGGGAAAATCCTTCCTGATTCCTGTAATAAATAAGGATGGTGCCTTTGTCACAGATGCAGTCAGATAATATGTATGAAAGCACTGTGGAGAAAAGTGCAGCTGAGCTGTTGGTCACTGGCATTCCCCAGAGATTGCCCTGTTTTCCTGTAGCAGGGGATGGTCTGCACAAGAGTGAGGCCCAAAAGGGCAGGCTGGAGCCCTTGCTCTGGGAGACCTGCCTGGACCTCTGGGAGACCTGTGCGCATGAGCAGGCCAGGTGCGCAGCCCTCTGTGCTGCTTCCTTTGTGGGAGCATGCGTTCAGCAGGTACTCACTGAGCACCCCCATGCCAGGCCCTGCTATGGGGCAGGCTCACCCTGTCCTGCAGGAGCTGTGTTCTGCTGGAACATTTCTTCTTTTTGTGTCCATGTGACTCACTACTCTGGGCTTCTGTGTGTCTGTTTTCTTCTGCCTTCGCCTCTTCTCTTTTCTTTCTCTACTTGATGTGGCCTTTCCACAATAGCTTCTTCTTTCCTGAGGTTCAGTTGTATCTTTTTCATGTAATTTTTGTTGCATTTATTTATTTAGTGTATGTATGTATGTGTTTGTGTCAGAGGACAATTTGCAGGAGGTTGGTGCTTTCTTTCTACCACGTGGCTTTCAGGAATTTGGGCTCAGGTCATCAAGCTTGGTGGCAAGTACCCTCACAAACTGAGGCATCTTACTGGTCTGTATCTCTTTCTTTCTTCTATTAATACATGTTTTTCTTTCAGAGTAAAAACGACCTTATAAACATCAGCAGGGCTTTGGGAGACCTGGGCCCTGCGTTTTTCTCTTAACGCTGCTGGCACCCTGCTTCTTTCTCTCGGCCACACTTGCTCCCTGCACTATTGGAAACACCAGCGTGGTCCTACCTCAGCGTCTTTGCACTCAGTCGTCCTTCAGCTGTGGCCGTCCTCACCCAGACATCCACTCCTCCTCTTACCTCCCTCACAGTCCTTCCTAGTGATCCCTTATTAGTATAGCACCTGCTCCCTGTTCCTGTCTTCTTTGATAACACATATTACCTTCTACGTTACGCTGTGTAATTTGTGTGATTTTCTTTGTTTCCTGTCGTATGGTAGCATATACATTATGTGAGCACAGAGATTAACCTACTGATAGAAACACCCTGGACACTGCCCAGCACTAGTAAGAACCCACATTATTAGTTGTTGAATGAGCCCCTTTGATAAAATGCTGGCTGGTCAGTTTGCTGTATTGCATTTATGGACTACTTCGTTTCATACGTTCTTTTAAAAGGATGAATAGAGAATTTCACATGTTTTTGAAATCTCTTCAGTTGCTTGCTTTCACTTGATACATTTTATTCCATTGCAGGCACACAGCCTTCATGAGGTGAAAGGGGACTTAGCACTTGTTATAAGTATACTTTCAGCTCAGAGTTCACAAAGCAGTAGGTGACAATTTTAGTGGGACAAAGTAATTGTAAACTTAAAGATAAGCCAGGAGGAGTTGGGTTTCCAGGTAGAAATCCCCATCCTGTCCAGAAGCCCAAAGATGATCCAAAAGAAAAATAAATTCCTCCACATAAAATATTCTTCTTGTTTAAAGTGTTAATATGGGGGCCAGAGACATGTCTTAGTGATTAAGAGCACTGGTTGCTCTTCCAGAGGACCTGGGTTCAGTTCCCAGCACCAATATGGCAGCTAACAACTATCAGTCACTCCAGTTCCAGGGGAATCCAATGTGCTCTTCTGGCCTCTGTGGACTCTTAACACATGTGGTACGCTTTATATGCATGTATGCAAAACACTCATACATGTAAAGTAAAAATAAAATAAAATAAAATTTAAATGTTAATATATATTTGCAACCCATAATTCTTCTTATAAAGTATCATACAAAATACTCTAAAAATGAATCTGGATAAAACTTCCTGAGTAGGGCATGTATATAAGTGTATCACCCACCTTCCAAGTGGTGATTTAGAAGTCTCATAAGCTCTGAAAATCCACCTTCTGAGTCTTCCACCAACTCATTTAGTAGCAAAATCTAATCTGACCTGACATTCAGCTGCTTTTTGTATTGGTGAGTCTAGTTACAGGCCTCTGTGTAGAAATCTTAATGAGCTTCATTGCATTGTGCACCCCAGACCTGCCAAGAGCATTGCGTGCTACGCAATCTATGCCACGATATTACCCTTGTAATATATTTTGTAAACATAATTCTGAAATTCATCTGACATGAGAGATTTGGATAAGACATTGAATGCCTGTAATTTTTTTTAAAAGCTTCACTGAAATGAAGCCCACGGCTCTGCAGACGTGGGCTGCCTAACGTGGTTGTGTCTGTTTCACTGAAATGAAGCCCACGGTTCTGCAGACGTGGGCTGCCTAACGTGGTTGTGTCTGTTTCACTGAAGTGAAGCCCACGGCTCTGCAGACGTGGGCTGCCTAACGTGGTTGTGTCTGTTTCACTGAAGTGAAGCCCACGGCTCTGCAGACGTGGGCTGCCTAACGTGGTTGTGTCTGTTTCACTGAAGTGAAGCCCACGGCTCTGCAGACGTGGGCTGCCTAACGTGGTTGTTGCTGCTGCTGTTACTGTTTTTCCCCAGCTTTGCAAACCTAGGAATACTTCATGTGACAAAGAAAAAAGTATTTGAAACACTGGAAGCACGAATGACCGAGGCGTGTATACGGGGCTACAATCCTGGGCTTCTGGTACATTCTGACCTTGCATATCTGCAAGCAGAAGGTGGAGGAGACCGGCAACTCACAGGTGAGCATCTTTCCCAGCCTTTCCTAAGACTGCCCGTGATATTATAAGTTCAGAATGACTGTGTCTACAATGTGACCGCTCTACCAAGAGGGAAGGAACCCAATGGAATTAAGCGTTAGACCCAGTGGAAGAAACACCGTCCTTGTTCTTGAAGATTGTAGACCTCATTTTTCACCTTTCTCAGTGTAGCTTTCTACTGTGCAGGTAGTTCATGGCAGGCTTATTCCACCCTACTACCATACGTGCCATGCCTTTAACTCTCATCAAAAGGAGAAAAAGTAGAATGGGGTCAGCATAGGAGGACAGCCCTTCTTATACATAGAAGACAGTTTGTACAATAATCCACAGCAAATGCAGGCTTCTTTTGATGGCTTTAATTTTAGACAGTCTAATGAGACTGTCTTTTAAATTTTACAAACAATATGAAGAATTTAATACTAAAGTAACCAAAAGAAAATGAGCAGAGACACAAATTAATATAACTAAAGATGAAAAAAGAAATGTTACTACAGATATACATAGAAGACAGTTTGTACAATAATCCACAGCAAATGCAGGCTTCTTTTGATGGCTTTAATTTTAGACAGTCTAATGAGACTGTCTTTTAAATTTTACAAACAATATGAAGAATTTAATACTAAAGTAACCAAAAGAAAATGAGCAGAGACACAAATTAATATAACTAAAGATGAAAAAAGAAATGTTACTACAGATACCAGTGAAATTCAGAGGATTGTTAGGGCATAGTATGAAAACATATATTTGAGTAAACTAGAAAATCTAAATGAAATAGATAAATTTCCAGGCACATATGACCTACCAACATTAAACCAAAAAGAGATAAACAAATTTAAAGAGACCTATAATAAGAAATGAAATTGAAGCAGTAATAAAATGTTTCCTAACTAAAAAAGGCTAAGGCCCAGATGGATTCACTGCTGAATTCTACTAAATCTTTAAAGAAGAATTAGCATCAGTGCTCTATAAACTATTCCACAAAATAGAAAGATAAAGAACATTACTAAACTTATTTTCTGAAGCCAGTATTATCTTGATATCCAAACAAAATAAGAACACAACAATGACAAAAAAGAAAAAGAAAATAATAGGTCAATCTCACTGATGAACATGGATTTAGAAATTCTCAATAAAATACATATAAACCAAATTCATAAATACTTTAAAAAGGTCATTCACCATGACCAAGTTGGCTTCATTCCTGGGATGAAAGATGATTCAATATATGAAAACCAATAAATGTATCATAAAAGACCCAAGAACAGAAATTACCTGATCATATAAATAGATACAAAAGGCCTTGGACAAAGTACAATATCAACTCATGATAAAAGCTCTGAAGAAGGTAGAAATAAGAGAAACATACCTCAGCATACTAAAGGCTCTAACAGCAGAGCTATTATACTAAGTGGGGAAAACTGACAGTATCTCCTTTAAAATCAGAAACAAAAAAAAGGGGTATTCACTTTCTCTACTCTTAACTCAACAAAGTGCTTGAAATGTTAGCTTGGGCAGTAAGACAAGAGAATGAAATAAAAGAGACTACAAATACGAAAAGAGTCAAAATATCTCTATTTGTATGCTCCTGTATATGAGACCCTGAAGACTCTACCCGAAAACTCTTAAATCTGATAAGCAAAGTAGTTTCCACAAAATAACAGGCTACAAAATGAACATATAAAGATCTGTCTTTTCTATGTGTCAATAATGAACATGATGAGAAAGAAATCAGTAAAGGAAACAACTAAGTAAAGAGACAGCCATTCACAATAGCTTCAGAAATAAAGAAATAAAATGCCTGGGAATAAAACTAGCAGTGGGAGAGAAAAGCCATGTACAATGAAAGTTTTAGAACATTGAAGAAAGGAACTGAAGAAGATAAGAGATGATGATTCCACATGCTTATAAATCAGCTGAATTAATACCATGAAAATGACTGTACTACCAAAAGTGGTCTAGAAATTAAATGCAATCCACATCAAAATTCCAATGACATTCTTCATGAAAATAGAAAAAGCAATCCGAAGTTCATTTGGAAGCACAAAATACCTCAGATAGCCAAAGCAATCCTGAAAATAACTAATAATAATTAATAATAATAATGCTGGAGGTATCACAGCAGCTGATTTCAAGTTATACTACAGAGCTATAGTAATAAAAACAGCATGGCACCAAAACAGACATGTATATCAATGGAATAGAGTATTCAGAAAGAGCACAACTATAACTAACTGATAATTTAGAAAGATGCCAAAACATACATTAGAGAAAACATTGCCTCTTCAACAAATGGTGCTGGGAGAACTGGATATCTGCATGTAGGTGAATTAAATTAGATCCCTGTCTCTCACCTTGTATAAAAATCAACTCATTATGGCTCAAAGCCCCTAATGTAAGACTCAGTGCTCTGAAACTGTTAGAGGAAAACATGGGAAGTACTTCATGATACTTGCATAGGCTAGGACTTTCTGAAAAGGGTTCTAGTAGCTCTGGAAATAAAATTAGGAATTGATAAATGGGACTGCATGAAATTAAATAGCTTCTGCACAGCAAAGGAAAGAATTAACTGAGTGAAGAGACAGCCTACAAACTAGGAGAGGTTCTTTGCTACCTATACTTTTGACAGGGGATTAATATGTAGATTATATAAAGAACTCAAAAAACTGAATTCCAAACAACCCAATTGGTAAATGGTCTAAGGAACAGACCATTCTCAAGAGAAGTGTACAGACAGTCAACAAATGTGAGAAAGAAGAGTTTTACCCCCTTAGCCATTAAAATTGCTTTGAGAGTCGGTAGCACACCTTTAATCTTAGCACTCGGGAGGCAATGAGGCCAGCAGCATGGTCTACATAGTATGTTCCAGGCCAGCTAGGGGTACATGGTGAGACCCTGTCTCAAAAGAATTTAAGAAAAAATTATAAAACTTACTTGACGTGCTGTCTCATTAGGAAAACAACAGGCACTAGGGAGGTAGCTCGGTTGGTAGAGTGCCTCCTAGCATGCATGAAGCCCTGGGTTCAAATCTTAGCACTGCATAAAAACGTGTGATAACACACATCTGTAATCTCAGTACTTGGAAGGTGGAGGCAGGAGGATCAGAAGTTCAACAAGGTCATCCTCAGTTACATAGCAACTTCAAAGCCAGCCTGGATACATGAGACTCTATAAAAATTTTTGAAAAAGAAAGGAAAAGATACTGATGAGTTAGGGAGGGGGAACTTCATATACTGCAGGTAGAAACGTAAATTAATCTAGACACTTGGAAAATCTGTATGGATAGGGGCAGCAAGATGGCTCAGTGGATAAGAGTACTTGGTACCAAGGTTCAATTCCTGGAACCCACATAGTGGAAGGAGAGGACCAACTCCCGAGATTGTCCAGTTACCTCCACAGGTACATCATGGCATACTTGTGCACACACATAAGTAAGTAAGAACATAAGTAAATGTAAAAAAAATTGGTATGAAGGTTCCTCAAAAAAAAGAAAAAGTAAAAATAGGGGGCTGGAGAGATGGCTCATCCATTAAGAGTATTTGCTGCTCTTGCAGAGGACCCAGATTTGGTTCCCAGCACCCACAGCTCACAATCACCTATAATTCCAATTCCAAGGGATCCCATGCTTTCTGGCATCTGCAGGCCCTGCACACAAAATGGTGCACATACATACACACAAGCACACATGTATCCACATAAAGAAAATAAATTCTGACCTCTGTGGTATTGCACAACATGGGTGCACTCATATACATGCAGGCAATACACTCATACACATAAAAATAATAAATAAAATATATTTTTAAAAAAAGTAAAAGAACTGCCATATGACGCAGCTGTACACCCCGGGCATGTGCTTAAAGGGCACTCAGCCTAGGTGCCCATCAACAAATGAACGGATAAAGAAAACATATAAATATATATACATAATATATAAATATATATAAATGATTCCAATCAGAAGAATGGAATTGTGTCACTTGCAAGGCCATATGCTCAACTGAAGATATCATATTAAGCAAAATAAGCCAGATTCAAAAAGACAAGTATTGCATGCTTTCTTTCTTTCATGGGTCGTAGATTTCATATGCATAAGTCATTTGCATATGTAATTTATGTATACATTAATATGTATATTTATGTGTAGTCATATTTATATGTCCATTCACTTATAAATGTGTGTGTATATATATAAATGTAGAGGGAGATGGTCTGAGGGCAGGAAGGGGACTAGTAGGAAGGAGAGAGTACGAAAGAGGATACAAGGGTCAGAGTTCATGATAAGCTTTACTAAAAATGTCTTTATGAAACCCATAAGTATGTATAGTGAATATGCACCAATTAAAAATATTTCAATGAATTTCAAGAGAGAAGAAAATGTCTTTAAGTTCATGTTCTTTGTTTGAACTTTTCAAAAACATGCCTTGTTGAATGTTCACATTTTCACCTGCCTGGGCATGAACAGACTGTGCTGTGTGCTCCTAGATCGGGAAAAGGAGATCATCCGCCAGGCAGCTCTGCAGCAGACAAAAGAGATGGACCTGAGTGTGGTGCGCCTCATGTTCACAGCCTTTCTTCCTGACAGCACCGGCAGCTTCACAAGGCGCCTGGAGCCTGTGGTATCAGACGCCATCTACGACAGCAGTAAGTACTACATCATAAGGAGGGGCGGCTGGTCTAGAAACGGATGCCAGCCCTGCCCCACTACTGCTGACCAGCTTTAAGTCTGCTTTCTGAAAGCAGCTTAGTCATGTTGAGCCTCGGGTTCATTATCTACAAAATGTGAAGACTGAAATCTATTGTTGAATATTTTAAGACAAGCCAGTCAAGGTAGTTCTCTACTCAGATATACATTACAGTCCTTTACATGCAATACCAATTTTTTTACTTATAAGTTACATTACTTATGAGTTATTCTTACATTACTGTAAGGTTAGATTGCTGATGCTTTATAAAAATACCTTAATCTATTCCTTGAATGCTTTGAAGAGAAATCGAGACAACTGTTAGTCTTATCCATCTTTATTTATCTACCTGGTACTAGCTTTATCAAGACAGGACTTCAAGTTAACAATGAATAGTAGGTCGGGGCTGGAGAGATGGCTCAACGGTTAAGAACACTGGTTGTTCTTGCAGAAGACCTGGGTTCGAATCCCAGCACCTACATGGCAGCTAACAACTGTCCATAACTCCAGTCCCAGGGGATCCAATAGCCTCTTCTGAGCTCTGCAGGCATTACATGACATGGGTGCACTTACCTACATGCAGGTAATACATGCATACACATAAAATAAAAATAACAAAATTAAAAAAAAATACTTTACAAAAGCAATGACTAGTAGGTCAGAATTCTCTGTAGTTCCTAGAACTTACAGAGTTTTTAGTGGTCTTTAACATTTACCATGTAACCTTCTTATTTGGCATACACAGGGTTTATTAAACAGATAATTCAGAAGTCTGCAAATGCAGTAAACTCATTTGAAGTTTATTGAAATTGGTATAAGTACAAAATCCATGTTCCATATACAACAGCTAACTAATTTTTCTAATTTAAACAAGTTTGAAGAGAAGTGAAAAGCTTATAAAATAATGCAGATTTTCTCCATAGATAACCTTAAAATGCAGCTGTTGAAGTTAAAAAAAAAAAAAAGGAAGCTTTATACTATTACCACATGCAGCTTTGCCCCTAACCACACAAAATTCTAATTTAGTTTGTGGAAAGAAAATATGACATTTTCATTTTTCTTTGTAGAAAACAAAAGTAATAAGCAGTTTAAGAAAATAGTATTTTTCTCAAATTTTAGGACTTTTGTAACTAGCAAGACGTCAGCACAAAACAAGCTGGTAGTAGAAGTCTTCACCTAATTGAAATTCCTCAAATTGGCTTAGCCCTTCCCAAAGCCGCAGAAAAGCTGTCTCTTTCTGCGTTAGTCTCTCTTTTACGAGGAAAAACCATCACTCACTCCTCCTTTCAGCCTCATCTATTGGGGGATCACGAGTGACCAGGGCCAAGAGGTGCACCAAGAACCTTGGAGGCCATTCTTGTATCTGTTAAAGCAGTAAAGTAGACGCGTTCATCTGAACTCCACTGAGGTGCTGTGTGGTAAGGAATCGACTTGTGAAGCTGAGGCTAAACCAGGACATCTGTTGTCTTCTTCCTTTGAACAGAAGCTCCCAATGCATCCAACTTGAAAATTGTAAGAATGGACAGAACAGCGGGATGTGTAACTGGAGGGGAAGAAATTTATCTTCTCTGTGACAAAGTTCAAAAAGGTACGTATACAGCCTGATCTCAAGATGTGGGATACAGCCATCAGATTTGTGCAATCACTTGTAGCCGCAGACCAGATGTGTTCTCCTTTACCATGGAGTCTCTCACAAACGTTTCCAAGTTTACATTGTGTTAGTTTTTAAAACCTAAGTATATATTTCCATTTTAAATTTCCCACAGAAGATACTGGTGACTGTAATTAATGTCTTTCAGCATGTAGATACTTTAATAAAACTTGGTTTACTTCACTCAAACTAAAATAATTATTAACCAAGTTTCACATAGCATAAAGTTACTGATTCTATTTATTTTCCAGAGCTTTGTTGTAACGTGGAGAGTGCTTTCCCAAACACCCTGCTTGTCACTATGATATCCACAGGCAACGGAAGGGCGATAAGGAATACAGATGTTCTCAGAGCACATTTCTCTCACAGTCTACACATTTGTTGTCACTAGCTGTGTTACAGGGTTGGGAATTAGTAAAAGCTGAAGGAGTTTGTGTTACTTTCACAAGCTTCACTTGTGCGTTAACTAAAATTACAAATGGAAAGTACAATATAATAAAGACCACTACACAGTGAGCATTTTCAAAGTAATCACATACAGATAGTCCTTAAATAAAGGAAGTGTGGCTTTAAATGAATGTTTCTTGTTTGAGGTTAAA